ATTCATGTTAAAATTTACTGATTCTATGAGTATCAATGCTTTATGAAATTGGTATTTGAAGTTAGTTGCCATCGCACTTTGTTTAGTATGTGAATTGTATGTGAATTATCGAGCCCACTGAGTTTTATACTCAGCGCGTCGATTTTTCATTCACGCGCAGGTTGGAAGAATCGTGGTTGCTACTTGAAGACTTGAGGAGTCCTTATCAGCAGAAAGTGCTTAAATTTGTCATACAAGATTGAGAGAATGTGATTAAGATTTATGGGCATGTATTAAGAGTTATGGCATATATAAATTCTTTTTATTGTTAGAGCTTAATGTGATTTGTAAATATAAGTGAAACCAGTAATTATTATTGGTGTAAAAAGTAGTTTGGTGAAAGAATAATATTTATGAAATGGATTGAAGATGACAAATAGTTTTACTATATTGATAATGCATTAGGTCATGAACACTTGATATAGATTCTGAATGAATTAAATTGCTAGATATTAAATGCTTTTGAGGTTTATTTATAATTAATGTAAAGAATATTTATATAGAAGGGGTATATTGTTGGTTATGATGATTCTTGGAGCTTCGTTGGAAGTTTAGAGTGTAATTGGGAGTGTTTTTATATTTCATATTTTTTGCATACAGTATGCTATCAGCAATGAAACGATATAAAGTGCAACCAGATTGTAAGCGTCTCGGCTTCGGTTCATTCGGGTTTCAACGGGCTGGACCGGCGACAAGGGGTGTTACACAATGGTTGCTACAGCGGAGAATAGGCCGAAGTCCACGTTTCTTTGACTCAGACCTCCCCCAGAATTGAAGGAACCACTGTAGCCACTGTATATTCAGATTGCCGTACCAATGGAGCGCGACACCCGAATGTGATCGGTGGACAACGGATAGCACTATGTGTATGTCCCTGAAGATGCTGTCTAAGTTCAAGATCGAAGAATCAGAGCTTGAACAATCCCAACATGGGTGGTTAGGCTTATGATAACACTATGCGGAATGCTAAAAAGGGAACTTGAAAGCAAAGCTATCCACAGGGGCCAGTGGAAAGTTGGGTAGACATCGGTTGTGCTTGACATCTTAGCCAACTATGCTCTTTTGTTAGGAAGACCGTTGGCTCCAATCCTCTAAGGTGGGTTTCCCATCCACTCTGACAAGTTGAAATGAAACTTCTGTGGGGGAATAGATGTGGTAACAGTGCCAATGCGCAAGAGGATCCTGATGTAGCAATCGTGGAAGGCTTAGAGCTGGGGTAGTTATCCGGGCTTTCAAGTGGCAGTAATTGATGCATCACCGCCGAAGAGCAGAGTGCAGTAAATAGGCATGAGTCCTTTTTCGAGAAAGATGATGAAGAAGATGAATTGGGGCCAGTACGGCAAGTTTGGGTCGGGGTTGCAAGGAAGGTTTGGAGCCTCTTTCATCGGCAATTGGGGCAGCAACGACAAACGCGATGGACTGGGAGTATTCTGAAATAGAAAGAAGGAAAGATAATGAGATTCAATCTCCGGTCACGAGATCTTTCTTTGGTTCCTACAAGGCTGAAGGGGAATTTCAGCACAGAGGAAAAGACCCTATCAAGGCTTGGAGATATTTATTGACCGATTATGCAGGAGAAGCTGGTCAAGTTTGGCCCGAACCTTCCTTTGGCAGCTGGGTGAATGGAACTGAATTTCATGGTATGCTGACAGAAGCAGTACTGAATCTGATTGGTTTGAAGAAGATATCGATTTGAAGACTTCTTTTTGGGGACTTGGGGATGAGCTTCCAGTCGTGCAAGAGCAAAAGGCCAAGGCGGGATCCTTACAGTCAGTTCTAGCCGCTGAAGATGCCGAAGAGGCAGCAGAGGAGACGAAGAAGATGAATGGAGCTAGGGAGAGGCCTCAAGAAAGGAACCACCCGGCGCGAACGAGAAGAAGATGTCAGACACCGACGAACGGTGGTCCAGGGCAATACAAGTACTTGTTAATGAATTGTATTGGACAGGAATTTAATCCTGTGTATTTTTGTTTTTCTGAATGCCTTGTTTTGAGAAACAATTGGATTGTTTCCTCTTTTATTTCAATCATGGAAGTTGAACTTTGACTATTTTTTCTTGTTTTCCTGATTGTCACGTTCATGGCATTGATTATACCACTCGCATATTTGACATAAACGCATTGCATAATTTTGCATTTAATTTAAGCACCACCGAAGACCCTAAAATAATCGAAATCGGATCGGACTTTAAATCTGAGCTTAAACAGGATCTCCAAGAATGCATTAGAAGAAATTCAGAGGTGTTTGCCTAGAGTTATGCGGACATGCCAGGAATTGATAGATCAATAGCAGAGAACTTCATTCCTACTGATCCGAGTGTTAAACCTGTAAAACAGAAAAGGAGACGGGTCAGACCAGAATGGCATGACAAGATCAAAGCTGAAGTCCAGAAGCAGCTGGATGCAGGATTCTTAGATGCACAAGGATTCTTAGAAGTAGCTACACTATCCGGAATGGTTGGCGAATATAGTCCCGGTGCTGAGAAAGATGGCAAGGATAGGGTTTTGTGTCGACTACAGGGACCTGAATAAAAGCCTCGCCCCAAAAGCATGTAACTTTCCCACTTCCACAACATAGATGTTTAATAGCACAGTGTGCCGGGTGGGTGTTATTACTATCATGGACGGATTCTCCGGATATAACCAGCGCATACTTGATGGATTTAGTGGATAACATAAGACCGCTTTCACCCAAGACTTCGGAACATTTTGCCTACACGAGTGAATGCATTTGACTAAAGAACGCCAGAGCAACATATCAGAGGATGGCTACTTACGTTATTTCATGATATGATCCACTAAAGGATTGGAGGTGTAATGTAGATGCATATGGGTGATCATGACAAAACAACCAGGAACGAACATGCAGAGATGTTGGAGAAGTTTTCTTTCGACCGGGTCAAACAGTATAACTTGAAGACTTAATCCTAAGGACAGTGTGTATTCGGAGTCGACGAGGGAAAATTGTTGGGTTTGTGTAGTGACCTAACGGGATTGAGGTTGACCCAGACAAAATAAAAGCCATTCCGGATATGGACCCGCCAAGACAGAACGTCAGGTGAGAAGCTTCCCTGGGTAAAATCAGTATATCAAGCACATTTTTATTTCGAGTTATCCATCACCTGTGCTCCCATTTTCAACTACTAGCAAAAGAATCAGCCAGTCTAGTGGAATGAAGGCATTGCAGAAAGCCCTTTGAACCACATAAAAAAATACCTGATGAAATCACCGGTGCTTAGTTTCACCAAGACCAGCGAGAACTCTAATCCTGTACCTATCTATGAAGATCCAGGAGTGGGCAAAGCAATGTTGGTACCCACCGGATGCCGCAGGAGTTTAGAAAAGCCATTTACTACAATCAGCAAGAAGCTACTGCCTATCGAGAGCCTATCGAAGAGAAATACAATCTGATTGAGAAAACATGCATGGCAGTAGTCTGGTCGATAAAGAAACTGAGGCCGTATTTTGATTCCTTCAAGGTCACTTTTGTCTCCAAAATTGATCCACTAAAATATCTGCAGAGAACGCCTATTCTAGAGGGACGGTTATCTAAGTGGTTGATTCAAATGTCTAGCGTAGATGCGGAGTTCGTAACGAAGAAGACGGTCAAAGGTCGAGCTGTGGTGAAATTCCTAGCAGAAAACCCTGTGACAGATGACGAATCTTGGGAATTGGAGTTTCCAGATGAACATTTGCTGAATATTGACACAGGAGTTTGAAGATTATACTTTGATGGATCAGCCAACAGAAACGGAGCTGGGGCTGGTATTGTTATAGAAGCACCTAACGGCGAAGTCATAACCATGTGCAAGAGCTTGGAGGTTGTATTTTGATGGATCAGCCAACAGAAATGGAGCCGGAGCTGGTATTGTAATTGAAGCACCTAATGGCGAGGTTACCGCGATGTGCAAGAGACTGTTGTTTCCAGTCACTAACAACATGGCAGAGTATGAAGCATGCATTATGGGGATGGAAGCTCTCCTTGCATCCGGTGCTAGGGAGGTCGAAGTAATAGGAGATTCGTTATTTGTTATTGAACATGCTAACAAGAGATGGAAGGTAGAGGAAGAAAGACTGAAGCCCTATGTTGAGCACTTGTTGAAAAAAGCAGCACTATTCGACAAGATCACTTTCACTCACATAGGAAAGAAAAGGAAACCTTTAGCCAGGAATTTCCAGACGCCTTTGGCAAACTTTAGCATCGGGCCTTGGCGGATTTGAGTTAAAGTTCCGAAGAAGCCATTATCATTACCGCAAGCCAATATTCCCGTGTTATAAAATCATTTTGTGAAACCAGATAGAACCGGAGGAAGAGCCAGGTTCACGGGATATTTCCTGAGGTACATGAAAGAGCGGTAACCTTTTCTGATTGATGCTACGAAAGAAAAGACCGTGCAGTCTCAGGAAAAAATGGCTCTGAAGTTATGTTCTAGCCGATGAGTGAACTCGTACAGAAGAGCTTTGGATGGGATGTTGCTGAGATGTGTGAGCCAAGAAAGGAAGAGAAAGAAGGACATAATTGAGGAAGGTGCATGAAGGAGGTTTGCGGTACTCCACCTAAGCGGGATTGAAGCCTAGCCAAAAGAAAAATTTCATGAGGCAAGGGTTATTTCTGTGCAGCATGGAAGGTGACTATGTTTCAGTAGTGCGTCGTTGCAAAGCTTGCCAAATTACCATATAATTAAAAGCCCACTTTTACCTGATAATAAAAGCCACTTACCTGCTGTTGAACTTCATTCGACAACTCCTTCCTGGCCTTTTTCTGCATGGGGTATAGACGTCATCGGCAAAATTTCATTAGCAGCATCCAACGGCATCAGTATATATTGGTTGCAGTTGACTACTTCTCTAGATGGATTGAGGCTCAATCTTACAAAACCTTAACTGCCAAACATGCAGCTAGATTCATCGAACAGAATATTTTCTGTCGCTATGGTGTTCCCCATCACATAATTACGGATAATGGCTCTCATTTTCCAGGCAGATGTTGGCCAATTGCTTTATAGATACAAGGTTGAGCATCACCATTCTTCTCCTTATCGCCCTCAGGCTAATGGTGCAGTAGAAGCTGTGAGATCAAAAAAAATCCTGATTCAAAGATGTGTTGAAAGGTATAGAAGGCTGGCTGAGAAACTTCCTTTCGCGCTCTGGGGCGCATCCGCACACTACCTTCAAATCAGTAAATGGAGCCTCTCCTTTCGAACTAGTATACGGAATGGAGGCAGTGTTACCGATAGAGCTCGAAAGAAGTCTCTCAGGGTTTTGGTAGAAGCTGGTTTGACCGAAGAGGAATGGGTCAAGAAAAGATATGAAGACCTGGCACTCCTAGACGGAAGAAGATTGAATGCTCGATTCCAGGACCAGATGAGAAAGAGAAGAATTGCTCGTTTCTACAATAAACGAATACATCCAAGGGCATTAAAGAACAGGGATTTGGTGTTGATCAGGTTATTGGACCATGAAGCCCAACATCATCCTGGTGGGAAATTTAAACCCAATTGGCATGGACCGTTTAGAATTCACAAGTTACTAGCAAAAGGCGCCGCTGAATAAAAAGGGCGCCGCCTGAATTGGTCACTATGGAAGGAGAACCTTCAATCGAATCTCAATCAAGACCCAATGAAGAAATTCTATATCTGAAATGATGATTTTCCGATGGAAAAAATGCTAAGTTGAAACCCCGAAAGGCGCTTAGGTAAAAAATATAAGGCTCACTAGTGTGAAAACCCGAAAAGGGCGGCCTAGGCACAAAGTTAAGCAGTATGAATAAAAATATATAAAAATAAAAATTTCAGATCAACGCGTGGTGCTTAGTTAAATGCAAGAATTCATGGCCCATTGCGCTTCGTGATTAAATGTGTGATTGTGGCGTCCAAACACCTTCCAATTTGACTCGAAGAGAATAGGAAAATCGAGTAGTTAGGGCAAATGACCATTGATATTAAAAATAAATTCGTTTTTACTTCTGTATAATGTTGAAAAGAAGTGAAGATCAATTAAAGGGATTTGAATTTCAAAATTTTCTTTTATTGTTCCGGGTTATGGTCCGAAAGGATGCAAACCTTTCCTCTCTGCTTACTTTGATCCAAGATCGACTCATTTGCATTCATAAGATGTTCCGACTGTTGGCCCTGCTTAGAACAATA